GGTCTTAAAAAACCCTTAGATTTCCAACAATATAAGTGTTCTCGAAATGAGGAAGATGTGCAGAGACCGGCGCAAATCGATATCTGACACCAGTTTGGAAGTCGCTATTTTCGGTTTCTGAAAAACTTCTAAAATGTTCTAAAAATCGGAGTGTTATTGTATTCCCTAATTTAATATCTACAAAACTAGAAAATGGAATCTGACGTCGATAATTGGCCTCTAGATGTTATCCTTGTTCCAAAATTATCCCATTGCACAGTGGACCGATGGGATGGGAATTCGGCAGGAAAGCAGTCCTTGAACTTTTCTTTTAATTTTAATACATTTGGTGAGTTGGGTGAAGTTTTTGTGCTTAAAAAGTTCCTTCTTTTAGTGGTTTTAAACATTAGGGTGATCTTCAAACGAATTGATCTTTAAAAACTTATTTTCTTATGTTAGAGAAAAAATACTCATATTTTTTTACAAAGTTGTCAAATAAATATTTTAGCTAATTATCTCTTAACGTTCTCATTTTAGAGTAATTTTACAGAATTGAATTAGGGTGTACTCTGGAGTCGCTTTTTACGCGGTTTTTTTTAAGTTGTTTTTTTTACACGGTTTTTTTTTACGCAGTTAGTGCCGCTGAGTCGCAATTTACGCGGTACGTTTTTAACGATTTCTCGACAACAATACGACCTATCGAGTTGATTCCAATCACATTATCCGTTTCAATTTTTGGTGTAAATACAGAAATTTTTAAAATATGTCTATATGGACCATAGCATGCTATAATAACGAATGGCATTAAAATCCGATTTATAAAAAATGTTTAAGCATGTGAAAAATCAAAATCTCTGAAGTTTTTTTTTACGCGGTTTTTTTTTACGCGGCACGTATCCCCCGCGTTAAAAAGCGACTCCAGTGTATCTGAAAAATTTAGAATTTAGATCTTTTGTTAAAAATTTCTCGGGAAAGTTATCTTCTAGTAACTTTTAGAACTTGTTCAAATGTCCATTGTTACCAAATAAAGTAAATCGATCACGCGATAGTAACGAAGGTTTTGATCTTTAAAGAATGGTGCAAATACACAATAAAATTCAAGTCAGTATTTGAAAGAGCACAACTACGAAAAAATAGAGATATATTATTGTTTAAACGCATGTAAAACCAATTAGACTATTGTGATGTTTTAAATATAATTTAGTATGAATTCATTATAGTAAAACAAAAATCATGCGTCTTAAGAAACTTTAAATGTCTCTCGATTAACGAGAGCCGGAGTGGAGGATACTGTACACGCAGCTAGTACTGCAAAAAGTATAATTTGAGGTAATAGCTTAAAAGAGTACAACGTTAGTACAATGATGTACTTTGTGCGTACATGTTTTTCATGATTATAGTATGTGGCTATGTGCATTCCTTGCAAAGTTATAGCACTTTTTAACTTTATTTTATCCTATTTTTAACTGCATATAGGGGGGAAGTTGGCTAACCGGGACACCCTATCAACTTCTTTGTTTTTAAGCTTAGACTAGTTTCTGCAAAGTAGGTAAGGTTTGGTTAGCTCCGGTCTACGTTGGTAGACGAAATAAATAAATTCATAAATGAGTAAATAGGGTCACGTAAAATTTTCGCATTTTTGCCTTTTTCTATACATAAACTAGCCATACTGTAAGGTATTTGAGAGTTTATCGAAAACCAGAAGGTGCCATCTTGGATTCTTAAATGTCACCATAATTAGATTTCCAACCAGTGCTTGTCTTCAACATTCCAAAAATGCATCCCATATTGTTAGGTATTAGACCGTTTTTTTTAACGAAAGTCATCATCTTTGATTCCAAAATGATGACGGTCAAAGATTCCTGGAAAGGGGCGCCGGTGGTGTAGAGTCTGAGTGGCATTACATCTCTGATCACGCCTTTCACCACGAAGGGAAATAAAGACGTTGGTCCCCGGTCCATGAGTTGATGGGTTGATATGTAGGTTCCAGGTAAGGGAGCTGTCTTTTTGGCGTCGGTAGCATTGGTACTCAGTACGGAAAACAAATCAAGGAAAAAATATATATATTTCTGGTTACTACTCGGGTTATACGTTCCGAAAATACTCTATTGTAGGGTATCGGAAGCTTTTTGATTACCGCTGACCCTTTCCAAAGTACCGTAAAACGGGGTATCTTTGATAATGCGGGTAACTTTGATAGTAGAATACAATGATTATACTCATACTCAGCACTTTTTTCCGAATTGAAAACATTGGTTCCATATTGAAGCTTAAGGTATTGCCGTTGATATGGTAAATAGTTTTTATATAGTATGTGTTACATATTTGACAAACATAAAAAAAAACAATTTTCTTGTTTTTCACCTGTATGAAAAAGCATTAAAACCATCACTTATGAAATGCATTTCCGATACAGCCATCACAAATTTAATGATGTCTACTTATTGCTTATGATGTTTCTGATTATGTACTCAATCAAAGTTTCATATTTCTTGAACTAAGCTATTTGAAATTTACGCATTTTTTCTACATGCATCGAGCATTATCAAAGTAACCCTAAATCAATATACTGATGTTCGGTCAAAAGACTAAAAATATAGTGTAAATTTAATAATTTCATTATTTGATATATTAATAACGAATTGACTCTGGGATCCTCAGTACTTGTTTTAAAAGAAATAAAATTTGAAAAATATTCCTTGCTGTAAAAAGTATTTAGAATATACACAGTTCGAAAAAATAGTGTAAATTTCTGTTCAATATGATGCACATAAATGGAGCGTCACATATCATATACGTTTACATTATACATGTTGTAAAGTTCTAACACATTTCATACAATGTAGCAAATGTTTTATACAAAAGCCCATCTTTGTAAGCAACATTGTTTGCAAGTTGCTCAGTTGCGTGAAATGAAATACAAGTCTACGTGAATGAATATTTACATCACAATTAATATTCAGAATTTTTATCTGTATACTTAAAAAAACTATCAATGTTACCCCGTTTTACAATACTCAAGAAAATACTCAAAAAATGCTCTTTACCGCGTTCTTTCAAAAACTGATGTAATGATCGTTGTGTTTCAACCCGAAATATAATCTTTTTTTTACTAGACTTAGGAAATCCTGAATTCAAGTGAAAGCGATGCTGATCAAAATCAACTTAAGGTGATTCCTTGTAGCGTCCACAAATGGCCGCCACGTGGTACGCTTCGAGGAAGCTAATATTTGTGCACATAAAGTTTCGAAGTGGTTACGAGAATAAGGAGCTCAGAGCGAAACACCTTACTTTAATAATTTAAAGAATAATAACATTCATGTAAATTAGCACTTAATAAGAAAAAGCTGATTTTTTAACTCACTGCTTATGTAGGATAACAAATGTAAGTTTTTTCAAGCCAGGCTTGCTGAAAACTCCTCAAACTCATTGGAGGTTTTAAAACACTCTTGTTCTGCGAGTTAGCCAGCGCTTACCTCGAGTGAGTGGCGGCAGGAATAAGGAAGAAGTAAACAAAAACTCCTCGAGAGAGAGAGGGAGAGTGAACTTCAGCGAGAGGACGATTTGAAGTGAGGTGCGCTTTTTGAGACTCCGGGTGACTTTTTTGTTCGACGCAAGAAGCTCGGAGTTCACCCAGAGTGAGAGTAAGAGCGTGTGGTAGAAAACATGAACATGAATGGCAGCAAACCTCACTCTCATTTTATCCCCCTTCGCTCACAAGCTCTTAAGCTCTGTGGAATGATTTGGCAGTATGCATTCTACTCCTCAGAAAAATGCTACGCTCGGCTCATTTCAAACTCGCGAGCGAGGCTCCATCAAGCATGAATTTAGCTAATAAATTTAGAAAGTAGTTTTCGATATTTTATCACACCAATTCCTCTTGATGGCTTTTATCATTTTACCCTTTTCCCATGATCTGTTTCTGTCAGTTGTCGACCATTCAGTTGGTACCAGTTGGGATGTTCACAATAGTCATATTTGCGCTAAAAATCTTGCTAAACTTTTCTAAATGGCGTCTTCGACATTTTTCTATAAATCATAACACTAATACGTCACTTCTAATCGAAATAACGTCTGAGACAAAATTGTAGGGAATGATCAAGTTTCATGAAATAATTATTCGCGTTATAAAATATAAAGTAGATTTGAGTAATATCCAATATAAGTGTTTTAAATTTAAAATAATAAAAAAAATCCTTGTGCAATATCTTTGATTTTTGTTAATATAAATACCTATGGAAAATACAAATTTTGATATTATCGCTCGGAAAAAGAATTGAAAATATCTCAAATATTGATTTCATTGCATAAACAAAAAGTTAAAAATCTGACCAAAAGTGTCCAGTGATTCAACATTTGAAAAGTTCGTATTATTCAATAAGCTATTATAAATTAACAAAAAAAAACAAATTAAATAAAATGAACAAGGTAATTTTTTGACATTTAATGTAATAACACTGTTTGAATTTTGCACTCAAAACAACTGATCAATTTTTACCGTGTATATTTGAAAAAATGGATTTAAATTTTCTTTACTAGAAACTAGATAAAAAATAATAAGAGCTGTTTCCGTGCTACACTTGTACGAACAATTTCAAAGACGTCATTTTGAAAATTTTACAAGATCCTAAATGGCCGAATTTTAGCAAAAATGTGAATCATTGCTCATAACAAACAATTATGCAAAATGTCATGCAAATCGGAGAAGTTTGATTTGAAACTTCTATTTATTTTTCGCTTTGCCTGGAACGGCTCAGTTTTTAAATTCATCCCGCCAAAATTCCCGCTTGATCAGTAGAGAGTTATTAAACATCAAGTGTCTGACTCTAGGATTTGTTGTTGTTTTGGGATTCCCAATGGAATCATTGGGCGAAGTTCTCAAAATCTTGGACTTAGACAAATTGATAAGACTGTATGTCATATTAAACCTCCTCTAAAAAAACACTAATGATAAAATTAACCGTACACAAATGCGTCATCATAATAAAGCAATCAATGGCAATCAAATCGATTTCACTTACTTCCAAAATAGATGCCGCGTATATCGGTGTAAAACTCACACGTTTCTGCCGGGAAAGGCCACTGACTCCGTTACTAAAATCCAGCGTGTAGTTGAAAATCCGGGGCGACAGTGATGTCGTTAACCATTCACCACACTTAAGTTAACTGCTTCACCCACACTAATTTCACTCTTTTGCTCGCTGGCTGATTCGACTTACATACAATTGCTCCGAAGACGCGGGAATATCTAAAGTTTCACTTGGCTGGAAAATCGTCACAGACACATGATTATCGGTTTTATCAGCTCTCTTCCCCTACGCAGACTTATTCAGATACTTGCATTAAAGCTCTCGCCAAACCAACGACGATGACGCCAGCGAACAACAATAACAACACTGTTGCCGAACAACACTTTTAAACACGCTCTTCCTACGCTTGCACCAAATGATCAGTCGCTTGAAATCACGCAACCAGCATACACTCACTCAATCTTCGCACTGTTTGACTGAACCGGCACTAATGTCGCGCTGCAATAGAGATTAGTCGGTGTTGACACATTTAATTTTTGTTTTCCTTAATATTTTATTTATTTTCCACCATTTCCTTCCTCGATTCTTCGCACCTCAATGGTGATAATTATAATCATTTATACCTTCGCTTTCTTCTGCTCGATTGGGATGACACTCTTCGAAAGCAGCTCCAGCACTAACTAACACCGATGATACACTGGAGCAACTACTAGTTGACTAGCTTTCTTCTGCACCGATCTTCCGGGCTAGTTTCTTCTGCGTACGGTGAAGTCGACCAACGAACGAAGAGTTGAAACGAATTATTAGGTCAATTTTTACTCCTTTAGTTTTTCTCTTTGGACGATTTCATTCAGCTGAACTTACACGCTACCAATTTTCAAATCGTGCGAAAAACAAAAAACAACGAACTATTTTAATTTTGATTTATGAGTTATGTGTGATAATTATGCACGCGTCGTTTCCAACGAAATTTAATAGCTTTTAGATGTAATGATTTCACGATGAGTTGCACTCTTCAGTTAGTGTTTCGTTCTACACCTCTTCCGATCGTGAATATCATAGTATCAGTTATAATGGGCTTCTAATTAGTTTATAAAGGCTTACTTTTATTATACACCATACACACGCTATCTCTCTTCCCCTAATAAGCAAACATCCGTAATGTCAGCTGATCGATTTTCAATTTGATGGATGAGTCCTTCTCTTCATGCAACGTAGACCTGCAAAAAAAAACGTGACATTTAGTTTTAAGCACCTACATGCGAGAAACATTAGGTCTAACAACGAGGTCTTCCGCTTGGGCCACGTTCGATGCTATATGCCTAGTAGCGACTAGCAAAGGTCGTCGACTTCCAGGAAATGAGAGAAAATTGCACGAAAATTGTTACACAACGAATTGAGGCGTGGAATTCCCGTATCCTTGAATTCCTTGTCCATCGATTCACTTGCCGATCACATGTACACACATGTGTCATCACCGGTTGAATCCACTGTCAATCTGTCATCTAATTAGGATTCTCGCACACGTACAGCAATGCCATCGAATTGAAAATAAAAACAAATCCCACTACTTCTCGGGCCGTCGCTGTGCATTTCAGGGACGAGAGCAAAAGCGATAGACATTCTCTTTACACGCTCTTCAATAATAATAACGACAAAAACGATGGTGACACCGACAGGGAGATGAAATGAGAATATGTTTCACCAAGGAGAAGGTTGGATGCTGGGTTGCCTGCCTCCGGGAGCGAGTGTCAAAATACAGTGTAGAAGCAATTTGGCCAACACACATGCGTATTGCTTCGCAGTGGTAGTAGGCTAGGAAAATTGGTCTAAATGTTGTCAGTGGACATTAACTTCCCGAGTAAGACTCAAAGCATCTATTCATATTGGCAAATCAAAGTTGGCACTCGTGGAGAATAGAACAACTATGAAAGTGATGATGATTTCAAAATTTTTCACGGTGAGGTATACGAGTGCAATCTTAAAATCTATTTGCATTGCGAACAAATTATTTTAATAAAATCTGGTTGGTAGATTTTATTATAGTAGATATTAGTAGAAAACGTAAGGGCTACTCAATAGTCATTAAATATATAAATAAAAAATCTTTTCAGATTTTTAGATGCATACATAGATTTAAGTTTTTTACCACTTTAGCAGCAACCAGATTTAAATAAAATCCATTTGCAAAATAAGCATTTTAAGATTGCACTCGTATACCTCCCCGTTGAAAATTTTGAAACCATCATCACTTTCATAGTAGTTCTGCTATTATCCACGGGAGCCAACTTTGATTTGCCAATTAGGGTCTTGCAGTGAAAATATTACGATCTTTCGTCACCTCCTCCATTCGGAAGCGAGAATTGCTATGATGGATACAGATGATTCTCGGGAAAATTTGGTCAATTACGGAAAAATAAGATTTTCACAAGAGACGAACCAGCTAAATGCTGAAAAAAAAAGATTTTCACAGGGAAACTGTTGGCAGAATAGCGTACGCGCAAAACAAATGTCTCTTACAGTGTAAGGATGGATTTATTAAATCTTCTGCATATGTTTCTTACAACAAATGTTATGGTAGTTGGACTGCTGCGTCTGTACTTAACTAATATTCTTGCGGTGTGGTTCTGTGATTTGCTTGGTAAATAAGACTGTGCGGAAAACTGAATTTTTTTTTCTCGATCAAAACAATCTAAGGGCCGATCCACGCTAAATTAAGGAAAAATTAACCCCCTTCCCCCCGTTCGTGACGTTTTTCCTGTACCTAATGCATTGCTTGTCACAAAATCATAACCTCCCCCCTCTCCTTATATCGTGACATAATATGTGCATCACCCCTAACCATGTTTGACTATATTGTGCATTGGGCTATTAATATCAATTTTGGTCATAAATTTGGCATTTGAAATTATTGTTGTGCAAGAGTATCTAATATCATTTGTCTAGAACATTTCAAAACGCTATCACGATGTTTTACACCACATTTCTGTATTTTTTAATACTTAGGCGGTGTCTTCAGTACGCGTAGGAGCAAGCTGATCTCGTACAAGCCTGTAGGGCGGTACGGCATCATAAGGAGAGCGGTACTTAAAAAACGTGACGTGTTAGAACAAAAGTATACGCTAGATAATGGGAGAGAGAAGGATTAGTAATTTCCATTTAATTCCAAATTACTAATCCTTCTATCTCTCATTATACAGGTATTCCACTAAGACGCCCACATTCATCAGGATATACGCTAGACTTTAACTCAGATCAGATATAGTGAAAATTCTAGGACAGTTTTTATCTTGTTGTTAATACTGGAGGGATGGTTGTAGAGGACGCTAATATTCAATAAAAGTTCATAATAACGGTGCGTATGCAAACATTTGAATACTTCGAAATATCTATGGAAAATATGATACTTGATGGTTTTCATAGTGATATCATAGTAGCAAATTTAAGAAATTTATTTTTGTTTACATAATAAGTGTTATGTTGCATTGAGGGTGTCTTCCAATAAACACAATTGGAATTTTGTGTTTGAAGGATGCTTTACAGGTTTGGCACATTTTCATGAATTTACTAAGCCATCATCATGCGGTGGTAACATCTATAATGATTTGTTTCCTGCAATCTTCCAATAATAATATAATCAACTTATTGTAGAAATGAGTTGTATGTGTTGCACAAAACATCCCACAAGTGCTTAGTAAATATTTTCTTAATCAATATTTCAATAATTCAATATGTCTGAATTCTTATTTTAAATATGAATTTATTCTATACCTACGGTTTACCAAAGAATGTAAACAATCCTTTAATGGACCCCATGTTTTGCACAGAAAAACATTATTTTTTTTACAACATTGACTCAGACGTAATTTCGAACAGGTGAAGTTTTCAGATTTGGCGTGGAATTGTTCAATGGCGTATTTGATATTGAAATCTTAAATTCGAAAATGACACTTCCAATCATGATGACGTCTAAGACAAAGTTCTAGGAAAAAATAATTCATTTTCACGGTGAATATTTCAAGTAGGTTTTTGTTAAAAATCCAATACAAAGTTAATGACAAATGAAACATTACCTTCCCTAATATTTTTTGAATATTTTTTTATTTATATGCCTAAAACTGCAAGTTTCTGTGATATAATCAAGTTGAACTCTTACAAATCCACAAAAACATAAAATAACGACCTTTGAACAATTTTTTAAACATTATAATTTTTTGAAACTTTAAAAATTGTTTTATTTGCAAAAAAACATCTAAAAACTAGTCATTTACTTGACCACAAGCAATGTTTTTTTTTTCTTATTTTTAAGTGTCCAGATAAATAATTTCACATTTTATACAAGCTTTTTGCTAAGCAGTATTCAAAAATATGTTAAATATATGTTATTTACTTATTAAAAACTTTTTTCTTTGTTTTTCACCTCAAATTACTTAAAAATTTTGCGTGATTATTTTTCCTGAATTATCATCAGGTACGCCTCAATCGTTAAAAGACTTTCCCCGAAAAGACTATCACCACAAATTTTTCCCCCGAAATGTTATTCCTCGAATGGATCGATTCCCTGAAAAATAAAAATTCCCGGATATACCATTTCCTCGAAAATATATCACTTTACAGTTTCGTTAATTAACAACAAAACATTTCTTATTTTCGGCAAAGGGTCCGACGTAGTAAAAACCATCCATGCATTTCACGCTTGAGGACACGAGTTCAATTCTCATCCCCGGACAAGTTACGGATTACCAAAAATATGTGCAATATGTGTATATAGTTTTATTATAAAATAAAAAAACATGTTACTTTGAAGATGATACTGCAGTTATTTATTTATTTTAGAATTAATTAACGTCATTTCACTTCTATCATAGATTCAGTGATATAGACGGAATGTGGTCTGAATGAGGAAATATGGTAACCCTTAGTACAATGCATTTTTTTAGCCACTCTTCTTTCTTCATATTCGTGTCACTTTACGGGATTTTTTTTTTTTTTTTTTTTTAGCAGAATTCATTGTAAGGGTACATGGGGTAAAATGTTCCCTATTGGAGGCGAACCAGCCCAAGGCTGAAAGCCTCCCTAATAAAGATAAATTAATTAATGAATTAAAATGTTCCCTTGGGGCAAAATGATTTTTTTTTACCAATTTTGAATACATTCACAAATAATTTTCACAGATTTATCCTTCAGCATTACTGCAAACGGTATTTTTAACGCCACATTGACTGTGGGATACATTTTACCCCAGAAACAATATTGGCTTTAAAAAAACGCCTAGAAATCCGATCTACAGATATCCCTTTGAAAATCTTAACTTTTTCGGGGAACTCTAATGCTTTCGGGGAATGCTATCATTAAAGGAACTGGGAACCGTATTTTCGGGGAACTGTTTTCGGGATACTGGTTTTCGGTGAAAAGTTGTACAATCATAAAAAAGTATATAAAGCAAGTATTTATATTTGAAAAAATTTCTATCCAAACCATATGTCTCATTGTTTTGATAAAAACAAATTAAATTATTTACCATAATCCGAGGGCAAACTGATCACCGTGGAGAAATTTATCATTATGGTTTGCGTTTTTAGTTGTCACGTAGAAAATGTTCGGTGATATATATCAAGAGACATGCATTTCATCATGAGGCTCCAATGATTACTTTGATGAGTTTCTCATTACAATAAAGTATATTTTACAACATGAATTTCAATTATGTTTAGCTGACGTTCAATAGCAGCATTCAGTATGCAATCGAATGGTGATATGCTTGCATCCAGAGTTGATTTTTAAAGAAATTGCCTAAATGCAAAACTAACATTTTAAGAAATCTTTGTTTTTTGTAATTTGTGCTGAACATTCATGCACAACAATTTGTGAACATTTGTGCACAACAATTTTAGTATCTGATTTGGATTCATTTAAGGGGTTACGCCACCCTAGGATTTTCAAAAAATCGATTTTTTTACATGAAAAGGTACTCTGAAGGGAAATAAGGGACAATTGGTTCCATGTCCAACAAATTAAAATTCCGAAAGTTATAAGCGAAATTACAAAACTTTGCATCACGCACCTGAATCTGTACCTCAAACTTCAACCGTGTTTTTTTTCGATACAACATTTCTCTCCGCTTCCCACACGATAGCATCTGCAATTTTGACTCAATTTGATCTAGACTTTGACGATTGCATTCTCTGATTAATTATCTAGAGAAGTACATACAAACTTTTCAATTGTTAAAAAATGCAATTGTGGTAAACAATTTTAGAAACAAATTTCAGGCGAAAAAACTGATTTTTTGCAAAAACAAGTCCCATTTGCGTAAAATTCAAAATGTTTTCATCTCCGTATGTACTTCTCTAGGTATTCTTATATAAAATATGAAAAACCACTCGTTTTTGTTCTAGGTTCATATTTACGACGAAGAAAGTGTGGGCCGCGTAACACTACACGGGAAGCAGTGCCAGGAACTCGCAGTGCTGCCAACTGCCACACATGGTTTCCCCTTATGAAAAAATACTGTAAGCACCCCTAATTATGTGTACTATAAGCCCATATAAGTTAATTTAGTATGTGAATTTATTAAATAACAAAAAAAAATAATGAAGTTGGTGCATTTTTCTGTATTCTAGGGTGGCGTAACCCCTTAATGAAGAAATTTATTTTTGTATTTTCATTATTAAGTGATTAATTTGCCCCCAGTTTACGGTACTGATTTCTTGGTTCAAAATGAATGAGCGCGCTGAAAACACCAAGACGATACAATGTCAGAGCGCTGTTTAATTAGCATTATTGCACTTTTGAGGGGATCAGGTTCAGTAACAATATAGTTTTGAATTAACA